TCTCAATATATCTCTATATTACTATTCACCCATTGCTCCAATCAGGCTTTCACCATCTTTTGACTCAACTAAACTAATGCTATTACCTCCCATATGGCCTCCAGTCTTTAGTTTCTTTTCCTTTGGGGCTGATCTAGCTAAAAGGTATATCTGCTGTCTGCTTGAAATACTCAAATGGCTTTGCACGGCCTGGAACACATTCTTCGAGTATACTTTCACTTTGCATGCTAAATAAACTTCATCTAATGCTAGAGTTATTGGCTCTGGATTCTTTGCTGAACTCAAGAACTGAGAACTGACATTAGAGACCAATGAGTTTGAAGACCATTTTCTTAGACTATGTCTTCTTGGTCTCCATTGGAGGTTCTCTTTGGCCAACACCTTACAATTCAATGTTCTCTAGAAACGTATCCTAAGCCCACTAATCTTCTCACCATAAAATAGGATTTCTCAATCTTGGCATGATAGACATTTTGGATCAGACAATTCTGTGTTACGAGGATTGTCCTGTGCTTAGGAACATCCCTAACTACTAACTACTAGATGACAGAAGTATTCTCTTACCCAAGTTGTAATAGCCAAAAATGTCTCTAGACACTGTCAAATAAAATTGCTCTGGTTGAGAACCACTGCCCTAAATACTTTTCCTGGGAATAACACCTAATAATAAGATTTAATTCTACTTATGCTATAAAATTCCACTTATGTGCCAGGCACAATTCTAAGCATATGACATGAGTTAAATCATTAAAGTCTTACTACTGGAGGCAAATTCCAGCAGGTCATAATTATGCAAGAAGTTCATCAGAAGGCTGATGGATCTTGGGGCTTCAGTAGGGCTGAAAATCTGCATATTATTACCTGCTGCTAAACAGCTGTAGGCATTTCCCCTAACCTGATCATCTTTCCCTGTTTACCAAACTTTACCTTTGATATGCCTGCTTGCATTCCTAAAGGGCCAATGTGTTTTCCAGTAAATAAAAAGTTTCCACCTGGCTTTCCCACATGCCTTCCAAATTTACATTTCATGTCTAGTCTCTATTCATTTATGCGCAGCCCTTCTCCAGATTCCTGAACCCTAGGTGTGAAAAGACTGCGGCATCTTACCACTTTATGAGACAAATAAATTAATACCTCCATTTTATAGATTAAGAATCTGCAAAACAGAGAAGTGATTCACCCAGGGTCACACAGCAAATCAGTGGTGATGACAACTCCAGTCCTGATTGCTGCCCTGAGCTTCAGATCCCTGTGAATAACTACCTCTGCTGGGCATCCCAGGTAACATTCACTCAAGATGCCCCAAAATTGAACTCAAAAGTCTTCACTCCACAAGAGCAGATATTTCTGTATTTCTTAAGTCAGTTAATGGCACAACTTATTTTTGGTTTTTTTTTTTGTTAATCCTCACCAGAGGATATTTTTCCATTGATTTTTAGGGAGAGTGGAAGAGAGAGGGAAAGACAGAGAAACACATCCATTGGTTGCCTCCTGCAGGAGCTCTGACCAGGGTGTGGGCCAGGGAGGAGCCTGCAACCAAAGTATGTGCCCTTGACTGGAATCAAACCTGGGACCCTTTGATCTGTAGGCCGATGCTCTATCCACTGAGCCAAACCAGCTAGGACAATGGCACAACTTTTACTATTAAACTCTCTGTGCCTCAGCGTAACTGGTAGCCTGGACATCATTCTAGATTCTGCTTGGATTCTCTTCTTTTTCCTCAATCTAATCATTGAAGTCCTAAGAATTTTACTTTCTAATTAATCAAATATGTCTTTTTTTTCCTCTATCTTTCACTGTTCCTGCCCTCATTAGGGCTCTAATCTTTCCTCAGTACTATCATAACCAACTCTCATTTGGTATCCTTGTATCTAGCCCTCAAAATTATCTTCTATATTGCTGCCAAAGTGATTTACCAAAAGTACAAATTTGTCCATGCCACTTTATGGCTTAAAGCTTTTTATTGACTGTTGTTAGTTAACTAAGAATAAAGTCAGGTTCCTTAGCATGGCCCTTTGGCCGTCAAATACATGACCCTTTCCAACCAGACTCTCATCTTCTGTCACCCCCTAAATCACACTTTACTCTCTAGCTGCTAGAGTCTTTGTCATGATCTGAGCATACTACGCTACTTCATGCCTTTGACCAGTGTCATCTTATGGTTTTGTTCTTTTTTTGTTTTGTTAATCCTTACCCGAGGATCTTTTTTCCAATGATTTTTAGAGATAGTGGAAAGGCTGGGGGAGTGGGGGAAGGAGTGAGAGAAAGAGATAGGGAAAGAGAAATAGAGAGAGAGACACTGATGTGAGAGAGACACATCAATGGTTGCCTCCTTGCATGCATGCGACTGGGCATCGAATGTGCAATCTAGGTATTTTTCTTTGACCATTAAGCGAATCTGAGACCCTTCACTATAATCACTGAGCACACCAGCCAGGGCCACAATGTTTCTTTTTAACATCACCAGTGTGACTTACTGTTCACAAATTTATAGGATGAGTTCCGTTTCCATGCAGGTATCTAAAAATTAGTTACTGCTTGAGAGGTTTAGTGTTCCGTTGGCTAGCCAAAGTTGTACTGATCTATCAATCACAGGGCCTGCCAGCTCAAACAGAAGGTGAGTGTGTGTGTGTGTGTGTGTGCGCGCGCGCGCACGCGCACGCGCACGCTACCTAACCAGGTCTGTTCTTGGGGTAGGCTTTGCTCTTAGGAACCCAATCCACAGGCTGGCCAATCACCAAGAGTAAGACATGGTGTAATTTAATGAACTGGTCTTATCAGGTACTTGCTTTGAGAATTAATTTCAAATGCAAAGAGGATCTGGTAGTTACTAGAAGACACCGAATCTAATAGCATTCAGAGAGAAAAATATCAGTAAAATAGACACAGCAGTGGTGAGTCAGAAGTTCCAAGGAAGCAGATTGGAAAGCTGAAGCCTTGAAGTTCACAAAAGTGAAGAGTACGGATAAGGGTCTCAAGAGCAAATAGGAGAGTGGGGCAGACAAGGAAAAAGTTGTGTGCTACACGAAGGATGTAAAAGTTTAAACTCTCACTCTCCTGTTTCTGCTAATATCCTAAAAGCTGGATTTCCATCTGGAGAGGCCATGATAAACATTTCAGCACCTGAAGTTTTTGTGAGACCTTTATTCTTTTACTAGTGGCCCAGTGCATGAATTTGTGCACATTGAAAGGAAATTAATTAGAAGAAATATTTTAATATTGCTATTCGCCCTTTTTCTATAATAGAAGTGTCAACCAAATTCATGATCGACAATGATGGAAACACATGTGTGTGATTGGCACCAGTGAGAGCTTTATATGTATAGATAAGCTTGCTTAATTAGACCTGCTTTCTGAGTTAAACTTATTCCAGTCCAGTGAAGCATCCCAAATTCTCTTTCAGATGATTGTCAGCAACACAGCAGTAAATATCAACATGAAGCAGATTATTATTGTAGATCACACAGGGAGAACAAAGGATAAAATATTTAACTGCAGCTCTGGCCGGCTTGGCTCAGTGGATAGAGTGTCAGCCTGCGGATTGAAGGGTCCCAGGTTCGATTCTGGCCAAGGGCACATGCCTGGGTTGCAGGCTTGATCCCCAGTGGGGGGCATGCAGGAGGCAGCCAATCAATGATTCTCTCTCATCATTGATGTTTCTAGCTCTCTCTCCTCCCTTCCTCTCTGAAATCAATAAAAAAATGTATTTTAAAAAAATATTTAACTGCAGCAGTGTTTGACTATATTCTGCACAGGGAGAAAACCTAAAGCCATTTTTAAGGTCCTCCATTTCTTACTTCTTTTTAGTGAGGTCAAGTTTCTAAATGTCCTTTTTCCAGCTAATGAAAAGAAAATAGGATTCCACCAAGTCTCCTATCTACCTACTCCAGGACTTCTGTGAGGAGCAAATGAGATGAAGCATGGGAAAATGCTTCACAGACATTTATCTACAGTGTAAAATGTTTCACCTGGCTATAAAGCAAGTCGTGTT